TTTGTCCACTTTTTGTAGTGACATATTTCTCTTTTTTTGTCTGTGTCTTTTTATTTTGGTCAATGCACAATTCAATCTTTGTATGAGTTCAGCCAAAGAGAAAGGAACCTGATGATGAGACGGATGGCAGTCAGACAAGTAAGCAGCAAAAAGATCCTTCTCTATTTATTTGCAAAAAAATCTTCACTGCTTAGGTTCTGCTGCCACCTCAAAATAATCTACCCTGTCTCCCTTACTTCAAATTGCCTCCTAGAAAATCTGCAAGATAATTCTTCATCTATGCGCTTCAAAATTCTTTTTTTTTTTCCATATCCCACCTTTCTCAATAGTTTTTACTTCATTCCTTGGGGTTTTTTAAACCAGCTTTTGCTAAGCCTTTAACCAAGTGTAAGTACATGTAACTGAAACTACCACATATTGCTTTTCTATTGCCCCCTGCTTCCGTTTTCCAACCTTGCCTCTGTTATTTTCAGTATTTTCAGTTTTATACAGTAAAATTTGGGAACAAATTTGGGAATTTATTTCTTTAAGAAAATACCCATTAATTTTATTATTTTTATTATGTTGATATTAAATGAATTCACACTCTTTTTCTTTCTGCCTCTTTGCTATTTTAAAATCCAGTACATAATAAATATGTTCAGTGTTAATGGTACGGTGAAACATAATATTATGAGACTATTTGGTGTAGTGGTTAAATCACTAGGCTAGAAACTGGGAGATTATAAATTCTAGTTCTGCCTTAGGCATGAAACCAGCAGGCTGACTTTGAGCCAGTCCTTCTCTCTTAATATTAGGAAGAAGGCAACAGCGTGCCACAAAAACTTATCCAAGCAGGCACCAGGAATCAACACTGACTTAAATAAACCCTCAAATTATAGTCAATCAAATTATCTTTTAAAAAAAGATTCTATATCTTTTAATTCATGTATTGTGTCAAGTGGTTGTGAGGTTTCGAGGTCGTCTCAAATAACTTGACTTGAACAGTCATGTGGCTTCCTGAGATTTTTATCCAAGGTCAAAAAACATATACAAAATAGTAATACTTCTGGTCCACATCATGCTCAAAACCTGAAGCTATGATCTTCCTCTTTCCTCAAATGTTTCATAAATTAGGAGAATATGTTTGGGGACAGATTTTCTAAATTTACTCTGCCTACTCTCTCCAAAGAGTCCAATAAGTAAATGCATAGAATTTCTCTGCATAGCTCATGGTTACATACAAACTCAGTTATATTACCATGAGAGGGTATTATTTGTCCTTCTTATTCCATTCTCACTTCTTAGGCCTCTCTTTCACCGAATCCAGTCCATATTTGAGTTTGCAAGAATAGAAATTAATATCTTGCTTATCATCAAATCCTCTGTGCTCCAATTCTTCCCATAACTTAGGGAGTGTATAGTTTGTGTCTAATGTTAATGAAATTAAGCCGACTCAAATGGTTGGACAAAATGAAAGTGGAAGGATGCTAAGAATGAAAGGATCAGTTAGCTATTTACTTTCTGCTCACATTGATATCAATGGGAGTTTAAGCCTGTGTTTAAATTGTTTCTATAAACACCAGCACAGCCTAATATGGTTAAGCATGGTTAAATCAAATCAATAGTGTAAAGCTTTTTGTGTGGAAGCAGATGGAAAGTATAAAGGTGCTAGAACTGAGGTATAAGAAAACTTATTTAGGGGGTTCAGGGAATCTGCTGATTAAAAGCTAGAAGCATTTGAGATCAGAACTTGGTACAAAACTGTCAGGCACTTCATAATTCTTCCGTCGGGACTTGAAGACTTGGCTTTTCAAACAAATAGGTTGAGAATGATTCCGGGCTTTATTATTTACTACTAATTAATTATTTGGATTAAATTATGATTTTATTGTACTTGTCTCTTAACTTGTGTTCGCCGACCTGAGTCCTTCAGGAGAATGGCGGCATATAAATACATGTAATAAATAAATAAATAAATAATTCAAAACAGGAAAGTTCTTGAGTCAGGAAGGCAGTCTCAGGAAGTACTGTAGCAGCATAGTCTGAAGCAATTAGATGTGACAGCTTTATAACAATCAATAGCATAGGTCTAATTCTCAAGTATCACTTTGATTTCAAGCCTAGGAGGTTTCTAGGCTATCTTGCTAGTGTTCCAGTCTGAATTATGTAAAGTTCCTTTCTCTGATAGATGACCCAAACATAACACCTAGCTGACAAGCTGTTTTAGTTCAAGCACATCAAGCCCTATGAGAAAACTCAACATATGTTTAAAAAAAAAAGTTCAAAAAATGAAATTCAACATAAACAAAAGTAAGGTTTTACATTTAGGCAAGAAAAGCCAACTGTATAGATATAGACTAAATGAAACTTGGCTTATTGCCAAGTAACTGTGTGAAGGATCTTGAAGTCCTAGTGGACAATCTCTTAAATATGAGCCAACAGTTCCGGCAGCAGCCAAAAAAAGCCAATACTAGGCTGCATTAATAGAGGGATAGAATCAAGATTACATGAGGTTCTAGCAGGGGTGAAATTCACTTACCTTCCCTACCGGTCCGCCAATGTGCGCATGCCATTGTCTGCACATGCGCAAAGCCTTCTGTGCATGTGCAGAGGCTTAAAATGTCACAAAAAAGCGGCATCATGACATCCGCATGGGTGGGTGGAGCCTCCTGCTACCAGTTCGCCCAAGTCAGATAGAACCTGCTGGATTTCACCCCTGGGTTCTACTACAACTTTACAAAGCCTTAGTAAGACCACACTTGGAATACTGCATGCAGTTCTGGTCACCACAATATTAAAAAGATGCTGTGACTCTGGAAAGAGTGCAGAGAAGAGCAACAAAAATGATTGGGGGGAGGGCTGGAGGCTAAAGCATAAGAAGACTTGTTACAGGAATTGGGATGGTCTGGTCTAATGAAAAGAAAGACTAGATTTGACTGTTTCAATATTTGAGGGATTCCTACAAAGATGAGGATATCAAACTATTTTCCAAAGCACCAAAAGGTAAGACAAGAAACAATGGTTGGAAACTATGCAAGGAGGGAAGCAACCCAGAACTAAGGAGAAATCTCCTAATGGTGAGAGCAATCAATGGAAGAGCCTGCCTTCAGAAGTTGTGGGTGCTCCATCACTGGTGGTTTTCAAAAAGAGATTGGACAACCATTTGCCTGAAAGGGTATAGGGCCGTGGTGGGTTGCCCCCGGTTCGCACCGGTTCTATAGAACTGGGAGTAAAACTGGTGGGAGGCTCCACCCACCAACCCCGACATCATCAAAATGCTTCTGCGCTTGCGCAGAAGAGTGCGAACCGGTAGTAAAAGTAAGTAGAACCCACCCCTGGTATAGGGTCTCCTACTCGAGCAAGGGGTTGGACTAGAAGACTTCCAAGATCCTTTCCAACTCTATTATTCTATGTTCTATGTTCCAAACTTAACTGCTGCTTAAGCAGTTTTGCACATGTCATTCTCACCTTTAATTATATCCAGATATGTTTAAATTATTATTGTTCTATTAGCCATTTTTAAACTAAAGTATATCACTAGAAAATTCAGAAACAAACAGTTTACACATATACTTGCTAAAGAAAGGATTATTCTTAGGAAAGGAACACAGTTTTTTCTTTAACTGAAGAGTGTGGGGTTGTGGAAGGCTGTTGTAATTGCTGAATTTCAAGAGCATCATCTCTTATCTTTCTCTTTTTAAGAAATGAAAGATATTTTCTTAATCAGAATAAAAATGACATGTCATATTGAAGCATAATATCTTCACCAAAAGCATAACTATACATTGTGCTATAAAGGTACAATAATGCTGACATGCATTAATTTATATGCTCAGCTATGTCTCTTCCTACTATACTCAACCCTGGAGAGAAGAGATTTCAGAAAATGAGAACTTGGCTTTAAAGAATGAATTTGGAGAGTGAAAAAGAAAAAGAAGGGGGGGGGACCCAGCTCAAGCAAACAGCATTACCTTTTCCTTGGAAAGAGAATTGCAATTGGTTTAAAACTAGTCTGAGGTGTTTTCTTTTAATGCAGTTTGGAAAAAGATGGTCTGTGAATTCTGGGAAAGGAGATTTGGATACTCTATTCAATACAAATCAGATAACTTAAAAATCCATTTTGTTCCAGGGAAAAAGTTCTCTCAAACCAAAAGAGACTCAACTAATTACATCAAGCAAGAAGATGTAATATAGACTATATGCACTTCAATAGATTTTTGTCTACGTGCAGAAGCAGACAACTAGAAAACAATGACAGCTGGGGCCAGACAAGCTCAGAATGTTTAATTGGATATGATGTGCAAAGCAACGGAGCAAACACTCTGAATGTCATAAGGCTGGCACTGAAAATACATTTGTTTTGATGATCCTTAATCCTTAATATGATGAACGGGTCATTGTACAGGTAGTCCTTGACTACGATCACAATCAAACACAAAATTTGTGTTGCTAAGTGAAACATTTGTTAACTGAGTTTTTCCCCATTTTACGACCTCCCTTGCTACAGTTGTTAAGTGACTCATCGCAGTTGTCAAGTTAGTAATATGGCTGTTAAGTGAATCTGACTTCTCCATTGACTTTGCTTGTCAGAAGGTTACAATAGATGATCACGTGACCCAGGGACACTGCAACTGTCATAAATATGAGTCACTTTCCTGAATTTTGATCACGTGACCATGGGGATGCTGCAATGGTTAAAAGTGTGAAAAACAGTCATAAGCCACTTTTTTTAGTGCCATTGTAACTTCAAACAATCACTAAATGAACTGTTGTAACTCGAGGACTACTTGTATTACTACTTCGTGTTCCATGAACTTCATAGCAGTCGGAATCCAGGAATGGGGCAAGCTGTTTAGCAATATGTTATCGTATTGATTTAATTCTGAATACATTTACCTACTTCACTTGCATAAGCAACTCACAGCAGTCTATAACTATGTTCTAGATTTACGATACAGCCATACAATTTGTGAAGATTTCCAATCAGATGATTGTGTGCCGGTAATTGTAATAATTACCTGACCTGCTCCCAAGTTGCCAGCCTAACAGCATGGCAGTCAAAAATCCTGTAAAGATAGAAAGGCTCAATTATAGGGAAAAATATCTGGATTTAGATTGGTAAATGCATAGCAAGGAAAAAATATATTTTTTAAAATACATTGGCAAGTAAAGCCTCAAATATCAGGAAATTGATGTATCATAGGTTCTAGCTTCACACAGATTGTTTTATGATAGAGCTGAGGAGAAAAACATTTGTCTGAGCAGCAAATCCTGAGGAGTAGAGTGATTTAAAAGCCAAAAGAACAAGGCAGAGCCTAGCAGTTATTGTATATGGTCTATGATGTAACTAAATATATGCACCTACACTACAGTATATTAGTATTTATATATACTATACACACACACACACACACACACACACTGTTACTTATAAATAGTAAATTAAAGTATATCTAAAAGAAAAATAATTCAAACAAGTACAAATATTAATTCTGACAGAATAAAGAAAACATCAATTACACATACATCTAGAATTACGATTCAAGGGGGGACAACTATTAACATCCAATTTCTGAAAGCATCAGTTGCTTGAACATATGACAAGAAACCAAAGCCTACCACTTTTCTGAGTAATTGGTTTAATTGTCAAACTGTTCTTCCTATTAGTTATTACAGCTGAGCAAACAACCCTTAGATACTTAATTTAATCCATGTATCGCATGCGTTCTCAAATTTTGTGCTAGCTAGCCTAACTGTGGCTGGCACAAAGAAAATAAGATAAGAGAACACAGTGAGTTTTGACAGGGCTCCCACTTTTCTTGTGGAAGACTCAGGGGTGAAATCCAGCAAGTTCTGACAGGTTCTGGAAAACCGGTAGCGGAAATTTTGAGTAGTTCAGGGAACTGGCAAATACCACCTCTGGCTGGCCCCATAGTGGGGTGGGAATGGAGATTTTGCAATATCCTTCCCCCAGGAGTGGGGAGGGAATGGGGATTTTGCAGTATCCTTCCTTTGAATTGGGGTGGGAATGGAGATTTTGCAGTATCCTTCCCCTGCCACGCCCACCAAGCCACACCCATCAAGGCACGGCCACAGAACCGGTTGTAAAAAAATTGGATTTCACCACTGGGAAGACTGATCAGGTAAGTCTTTTATTAAAGACTAAAAACCTTTTATGGATCTTTTGCTAAAAGTGGGGGTGGGGAGGAACTGGTGATTAGGTAATTTAAACTGGTAATTTAAAAAGGGGAACTAAAAAAAAGGAAGAGCCTTTTCTACCATGGCTCCTGCCCTTTGAAACATTGGTGAAATCCGCACTCACTTCCTGAAGACCTGGCTCTGTTAGTTGGAGCCCCAATTGAGGTGCTATTGGATTAAGAAAAGACACCCCTCCACCTCTCCCCATATACTTCGTGCTCCCTTTCTCCCCATCTTTTAATTGTAAATTATTATTATTTGTTTTAAAGTTAACTGGTTTTTAATGTTTGTAAGCCACCCAGAGTCACCTTTAGACAAGGTGGGCAGGATACAAATCTAATAAATAAATAAAATATGATGGAATTTTAAAAGAGGGAGGCTATATATCTTTTTTTCACATTTTTTTTCTTTTTTAAAACTTATTTTATATCATTTCATGCTGATCTTTCATTTTTGTAAAATCCTTTAAAAAAAAATTTTAAAAAAATAAATAAAAACATTGAAGAAACCAGGGCCCAGGCTTATATAGCTTCCCTTTCAATGGCTCCTTGCAGTTGGGCAAGGAACTACTGATAATAATTCTTTGAATATGACTTTTAAGCCAGCTATGTATCCTCTTAATTGTTGTGTCATCCAGCTCACACTTAACTAGCTTCTTAATCAGCCTATCATGGATATTTTATGAAAGGCTTTCCTGTAAAATAGATGAGCTATATCCACGATATTCTTACAACCTCCTAAGGAAACTACCCAATCTAAAAACTGAGGTAAATTTAATCTAGCAGATTTGCCTGTATTAGAGCCACGCTGACATGTGATAATTATTGTTTTCAAAATATACACAGTTTTATCTTTTTATGATCTATTCTAAAATCTTCTCAAGAATCTAATCTTAATCCTTATCCTATTTTCTACTTCTCCAAGATAAGAACAATATTTACCTCCTCAGGCCATCTGGCACTCCATAAATTCTCCAGTATTTCCCAAAGGTGACCTAAAAAAATCTGTCAGACCATCAGTAAGTTCCTTCAGTACTTTGGATGTAATTCATCTGGCTGCAGATGTTTGCATTCATTTGTGTAAACAGAAAGATTCTGATTTTTTGCTTTTTTTTACATCCTTTACCAACTCAGCCTTTTCTGAGCTTTAACTTTTCTAATAACATTTCTACAGCTTGAAGTAATCCTTATATATTTTAGTAATTCCTGCCCCTCTTTCAACTTCTTGTGCCATTCCTTTTTACTATTTTTCAGAAGTTCACTAATTTTTTATGCAACTACTCTAATTAAAACCCTTCATTAAAATCCTAAGTAAAACTCCTTAAAATCAAGAATTCCAATATATTTTCTCCCAATGTTTTGTTACTTTCATTACCTTGACAGAACTTCCCTTCAGCATTGATCACTACTAAGTCAAGAACCCTTGACTTTCATCATCTCAAGGAAAAATCAGGAATAGGAAGGAAAAAAAGAGATTTAAGATTTTTTTTTCCTCAATGAAGAGCAAGCCAATTAAAATCCCCCATCACAACCGTTTCATGTTTCGTCTCCATTTTCTTTGTTGATGGATGAGAGTAGGCCCCAAGTACAGTATTGTTTTCATTCATGCCTCAAGTTAACAGAGGCACAGAATCAAAATCATGTGAAATGTTAATGCCACTTTATAATGGCATTATAACCCTAACCCTTGGTAAGACCACACTTGGAAGACTGCATCCAGCTTTGAATGCCACAATGTAAAAAAGATGTTAAGACTCTAGAAAGAGTGCAGAGAAGAGCTACAAAGATGATTAGGGGACTTGAGATTAAAACATATAAAGAAGGTTGCTAGAATTGGGTATGTCTAGTTTAATCAAAATAAGGACAAGGGGTGACATGATAGCAGTGTTCCAATATCTAAAGGACTGCCACAAAGAAGAGGGGTCAACCTATTTTCCAAAGCACCTGAAGGCAGGACAAGAAGCAATGGCTGGAAACTAATCAAGGAAATATCTAACCTAGAACTAAGAAGGAATTTCATGATAGTTAGAACTATTAATCAGTGGAACGATTTGCCTCCAGAAGTTGAGAGGTGGGGTGCTTTTAAGAAGAGACTGGGCAACAATTTGTCTGAAATGCTATAGGTTTTCCTGCCTGAGCAGGGAGTTAGACTAGAAGACCTCCAAGGTCCTTTCCAACTCTGTTATTCTGTTAAATTATTTAACCCAAATACTGCTAAACTCCTGTCACTTAGATATTTGACCAGTGGCAATTCTTTTTGCATTCAAAGCAACTCATCTTTCTTTATTGCTTCTGTACAAATTATATTCTTCAATTGCTATATTCCAATCATACCACATATTGTGTGAAGTCTCTTATTATACTAACTGCATCATATTTGGTTTTCTGAACTGAGAGTGAAAGGTGCAAGATGAAATATGCTTCAGACAAACACACTGTTACCATCCATGCCTGCCATCCATCATTTCCAGCCGCCTGCTCTTCCCCACCAAATAAATCAGGCCATGGCTCTAAAAACAAAATCTCTCCCACCAATACCATTTGCATAAAAAGCCATTCATTTGCAGTATTCAACTTTCCCTGTTCAGTTCTCTTCCTTGAACTGGAAGGATGGATGACAACCCCAATTGAACCAGAGAACTGCATTCTCTACACCACTCTTCATATTTTTTTCTTTTTCCTCTGATTGTTTAATGGATTCATTTTAATAAGATACAAAATTGTAAATCTTATTTACAGGAAGAGTTACTGAAGACACAGTCAAGATAGTAAAGACATTCTTCCCTTGGAAATCCGAAGAGAATGTTGCTTTGATATAACATAGTTTATAATGCAACCGTACCGTTGAGAACTTTACTGTTGGATTAATGTGTGCTAAAAACTAATATTGAGAGCTTTATTTGTGTTCCTTTCTCTGAACTATAGACTTTGAATACTTATCATGGTTTGAGCATTGAGTTTTCCAGTTTTTTAACTCTTCTATTCTTAATATTTTCTTTGAATTTAATGAAGAGTTGCATACAATGGAAGATAATATTTCCAAATTAATTCAGTGAACACAAGATATGGAAGCAAAATTCAACTCTGTTAAGGAAGATATTAAAGATACATATGATAAATTAATAACCAAAGTTGAATATCAGAACAAAGAAATAAAAAAATCCAGACAAGCTATTCAGCAGACAGAACTATATAAGTTGGAGACTAAATTAAAACTGGTTGAAACAGAATTACTTAGAAACCAGTTATAATTCAGAGGGATACCAAAGAATTTTGGTAAGGAAGATGTAGAAAGAGAAAGAGAAAATTTACTAATGATGTACCTTAACTGGGATGTAGAGGAAATTTAGAAAATTTACACACAAAATACCTTGGGTACCAAGAGTGGTCACCAAGGTGAAAAGTAACAGCATCCTGATCACAGTATTAGTTAGAATTATTAACAATTGGGAGATTAATCTTGATCATCACCTTTTGCGATCTTCTGACAAGCAAAGTCAACAGGGAAGCCAGATTCACTTAATAACCGGATTACTAATTTATCAACTGCGGTGATTCACTGTACAACTGTGGCAAGAAAGGTCATAAAATGAGGCAAAACTCAACAAATGTCTCACTTAACAACAGAAATTTGGGGCTCAATTGTGTACACAATGGTGCTTTATAGCATCAGACACAAAACTTTAGCTTTAAATAGTTGAATTTTATTATTATTATTATTATTATTATTATTATTATTATTATTATTATTATTTCTATGCCGCCCACTCTCCGAGGACTCTGGGCAGCTTACACCAAAGACAGTATACTAAATAGCATATTGCCCCCAATATGGTCCTCAAATTGGTCCTCATTTTACCCATCTCGGAAGGATGGTAGGCTAAATCAACCTTGAGCCGGTGATATTTGATCCGCTAATCTGCTGAACTAGCAGTCAGCTGAAGTAGCTGCAGTACTGCACCCTAACCACTGCGCCACCTCGGCTCATGTCGAATAGCTGTTGGGCCATAGCTTTTGCCAAATTCACCTGCAAATTTAGTCATTGTAGTGGATGCTTTGGGGCCTTTACTAGAAGTTCTCTTGTATAAGTAGATTAGCAGGTAGATATAAATGATATAGGTTTACAGGTAGGAATATGTCAAATAGTAACCAGTGTGGTTTACTGATTCAGATGCTGAACTAGGGTGACCCAAAGTTTCATGTCCACTCTCATTCATATTCTGAACTAAGCAATCTGTCTTGTCAAGCTTACATCATGGGGCAGTTGCTGTAGGTATAAAATGAATAGAAATCCCCATGTAAACTACCTTAAGCACTTGAAGAAATGTGGAATAACAGTCTCATAATTATTACTATCTTAATTCCCTCTACTCTTGCTCAGACTCATTGCATTTTATTGTTACTATGTATTCTTCTGTGGTTTGCTAACATTTTTATGTCTGTGAGGGGGGTCAGTGTACATTTTGTCTTTATTGGTTTGATTGGCCTGTAGGGAACACAAAGCACTCTTTTAGAACAGCTGCTAAGCCTAACAACTTTTTCAGAATTCATTGAAATCAAATCTGTATATCTTAAATGACCACATAAATCGCATTTCATCTCATGTCCCCAAAGCATTTTGTCTTAATATGTTTCTGTTCCCAAGTGTCTCTCTTTTCTTCTGATCTAGTTTTATCTCAACAGATAATCTACCATGAACAGTCTTAGCAGTTGCTTGAAGGAAACAGTAATTTCTTTTCCCACCATTCTTGGCAAACCATAAGGCACATTAAACTGCAATACTACACTGCACTTTATATACTTAATGCTGCACATAGTTGGATAAAAATACAAACAGAGAATAAATCTGAGTTCATGATAGTCTAGATCTCACTCTAGCTCATATAAATTTTGAAAAATATAGTTGAATATTTGTTTGAATCAAGAGCGGTCATAGAAATAGACTAAAATAATAAAATCAAAATATTTTGTTTCAATGGAACCTTTGGAAGCTAAACAAAAAGTCAGTGATTTCTTGCAAAGGCATCCCAGTAACTTGATTCAACTACTCTTAGCTAGTTTCTTTCCCTGCCTTTTCTAGTAAGTTCTCTTTTCTTTATCTGTATTTATTATAGTCCTCTTATTCATTAGTGACTTAGAAATGATGGTTCACTGTTCTCCATTCTAGATTCAAATTTTAAACTGCATTCTATATTGTGCAGGATACAGAAACTTATAGAGCTCTGCCCCACCTTCATCTGTTTCAACCTCCTACATAGGAAGGAAGGCTGCATAGGACCATAGAACAGCATGGTCTTGTGCTGGTTCATGTCTTAGTTTATCACGTAGCATTGGACACACTTTTAGATGGTCTCTGGTGGGGGCAGGATAGTCGTGGTGCATCCATCCTTGCCTTACTTAACCTCTCAGTGGCTTTTGAAACCATTGACTATAGTATCCTTCTGGATCGACTCAGAGGATTGGGAGTGAGTGGCATGGTGTTGTGCTGGTTCACCTCCTTTCTCTGGGGTCCATTCCAGTCAGTGGTGATTGTAAAGGAGAGAATACTCCCTTGGCCCCTACTTTTTGGAATGCCACAGGGGTCAGCGTCCTCTCCCCTCCTTTGTATCATTTACATGAGAACACTGGGTGAGTTCATCCATCACCATGGGGTGAGATATTATTAATATGCTGATGATACCCAATTGTACAGCTTTGTCTCTGGAAAATTTGTGGGCATCCTATTCCAGTGTTTGGATGCTATGATGATCTGGATGGGGAACAGGCTTCAGGTGAACCCTGGCATGAATGAGTGGCTTTGAGGGACCATCTGGTTCTAGGGCTATACCATTTATTGTGCTGGATGGGCTTGCACTGCCCAAACAGATCATGTGCATAATCTGGGGGTCCACTTGTATTCATAATTCCTGCTCAAATTGTACTGTGAATTAGTGTACCCAGTCCTAGGTCAAGATAC